CCCCAAACGTCTGCAAGAGCCAGAAGGAACAGTCTGCAGCCAGGATCCTGGAGTGTCTTTTAGTTCTTCCATGTGGGTTCTGGGGCCCAAGGCCTTGGGTCATCTTCAAAAGCATTCTCAGGCACCTTAGTAGGGAACTGGATTGGAAGTAGAGCAACTGGGACTTGGACTGGCATCATTGCTGACTCTCAGTTGCAACTTCTTATGGAGCCCCTGGCTTCACATCAGCTCAGCTGAGGCCACTGAAGTCACTTGAGTGGTGATCCAACAGATGGAAGATACTTCTCTTAGTCTCTTCTGTAAATCTGCCTTTCCAATAAAAATAAAATAAAGCTAAAAAAAAAAAAAAGCACTCACTTACCCAATCACGCTTTCTCTCTGCTTACTCCTTATCTCTTCCCCAACCCTGGCCTAAAAAAGAAAGAAAAGCAATGGCTGCTAGGACTATTACTGAACAAGAGGTGCAGGTGAAGTAACAGCTTTCCGCCTCTGTGGTGGGTGCATGCTGTGGGTGTATTAAATGTGAAGGCTATGAGCTAGCATTCATGGAGCATCATAGCTCATGGGCAGGACTCATGCTGTGCTCATGTTTTCTCACTTAATTCTCTCCATTTATCTGCTTTTATTCTCCTTTTCCAGAATAGAAGATAAGATTCAAAGAGTCAATTTGCCCTAAGTCACATAGGTAACAATGCAGAGAGTGGAAGAGAAGCTGTGGCTACCCCCTCGACCATTGTCTTTACTCCCTCTGCCAAGGAGGTCTAGAATATGTTCTTAGCAGAAGTCAAGGAAACCCTGTGCTCACAGACTGAACCCTGTTCATGGAGCTATGGCAGCTATCCCTCTTAGTCTAGTTCTTTGAGTTTGAATTAAAACGTATCTGAAAATAGTCGCATAGACTGACTTCAGTTTCCATTAAATTTTCAATCTTGACATGTTTCTCAGGTATATACAGATCATCTCTCTCCGGGATGCTATAACATCCAATGACCATTCTTTGCTTGCAAAATCACATCAGGGCCCTGCGCGGTGGCGCAGTGGTTGAGGTCCTCGCCTTGCAATCCCGGGATCCCATATGGGCGCCAGTTCTATCCCAGCAGCCCTGCTTCCCTTCCAGCTCCCTGCCTGTGGCCCAGGAAAGCAGTCGAGGACGGCCCAAAGCTTTGGGACCCTGCACCCGCGTGGGAGACCCAGAAGAGTCTCCTGGCTTCGGATTGGCATAGTATCGGCCGTTGCGCTCACTTGGGGAGTGAATCATCGGATGGAAGATCTTCCTCTCTGTCTCTCCTCTCTGTATATCCGCCTTTCCAATAAAAAAATAATAATAATAAAAAATAAATCTTACAAAAAAAAAACACATCAGACTAGCCAGTCAGTGACACAGAGCCCCATGCCCTGGCTTAGGCTCTGTCTCCTGTGCTCTCCCACTGCATCCTTCATATCAGTCTCCAGCCAAGCTCCTAGGAAACCAGGTCTTGCCTGCCCTCCTTCCCTAATGTCGTTTTCTCATGCTGGAGTCCTGTTCATCCACAGATCCCAGGTCGATTTGAAGGGAAAGTCACATGTACCATAAAGATGAACATTACTGTTTTTTAAAATAATTCCAAATATTAGAGTAGGCATTATGGCACAGCAAATTAAGCATCTCTTGGGATATCCACTTAGGATATCTGAGTGCCTAGGATCAAGTCCTGCCTCCACTTCCTATACAGTGTCTTGCTAACGTGCCTGAGAGACAGCAGATGGTGACCCAAATACTTGGGTTCCTGCCACAAATATGGTAGCCCTAGATAGAGTCTCCGGCTCTTGACTCCAGCCAAGCCATGGCTGTTGCTAGAATGTGGGGGCATGATCCAGGGCATGGAAGAACTCGCTGTAAATCTCACTCTGAATTTCTCTCATTGCGCCTAAAAAAAAAAGAAAAAACTTCTAATTCCAAATATAAAATTCCTTCATATTTAAGTGAGTACAGAAGAAAGATTAATTGAAAAGTCTCAATCTTTGGTAACCATGTGGTTGGCAAGGTTTCCATAGTAGATTTAAATTCAATTTCAAAGTAGGAGAGAATATTAATACCACCTCTATTGTTTTTTTCCCCTCAACAACTCTAAATCTACTAGAAGGCTTTTGCTGCAGTGTTCTCAAAGTGTAGCAAATTCTACTTGGTATATCATCTCTTCATGTTTAATTATAAGGATTTGAATTTGCAGCACCAGTTAATCAGTAATTAGATAGTACTGTACCAAAAGAGACTAAACAAAGACAAAACAAAAACACAACTCAGCACAAGGCCACATCGATTGAGAGTGTTTCATGTGGCTTGGCTACAATACTCCGTGAGGAATATCAGCTAACTGCGTCATTAGCTGTGTGTTCCTTGGGTTTTTTATTGTTGTTGCTCCCAACCTCCTGTGCAAATTGGAAATTTAAAGGGAATTCAGATATACAAGCGCTCTAATTACATTAGTGTTTATTTTTGTTTGCATTCTTTATTACGAACAGTTTTATATGCTCCATAATTAGTTTGAAATGTAGTAGTATGCTTTCACTATGTAAAACAAATCAATGTTTTGTACCGATGCGGTCTGTATTGACCCTCATATTTATAAATAAATAAAGCAAGCTACTTTCTAGTTCATTCTCAGGGAGATCTCTTAACAAAGTGTTCACCATAGACTTGGAAAATCAAAAAAGTTAGAAAGCAGACTAAAGCACAAAATCCCTAAAAACAAGTTATGCAGGGAAACCAGGAAAGTGGATGCAGAGACCCTCTCCCTACTAAGTCAGGGCAACTCCCTGTTTGAGGCACATGGGCCTCTTCTCCTGGCTCTTAATCCTTCTCTTAGAGAAAAAGGGAAGGCTGGTAGTTGGCAAGTGAAGTCAGCAATTCCCATGACTGAGTCTCTGAAGAGACGATGGAAATGCCAACCAAAGTGTGCCCTACCATGGGAGAGCCTGGCAACTGGGTTTCGAGTAGGGCAGGCATTCAGAGGAGCCCTAAAGTCTCCAGAGCAGACTGTGTAGTGGACTCTTCTCCTTCAAGGTCCCCAATTCATTCTTTGTCTCTGTGACCATGACTACATGAAGAGATTGAACAAACAACGAAACACCAGGAGCACCACAAAGTGTCTGAACATCTTCCCCTCATGCTAGTTCTAAGGGCTTCATATCTGAAAGAAACTGGCATCATCTTTACTGCCAAGTCCAGGGATCCTGTCAATTTTGAATATTGTAGTAGGATGTTTAAATGATAGGCCAATGAATGAGCAGGGTCTTTCCCACTAACTGTGAGAAGTGCTCTTGGAAACTTCCTCATGATCAGCTTCCTTGTCTCCTACCAAGCTTGCTTTATACAAGTATTTATTAATTCCTGGTTTCTAAAACAAGTAATTTCTTTTTTGATGGAACCTTTTGCTGTAAAATAGCGTAAGGTGCTTTGAGAAAAAAAAAAGTGAAGATTCCCCTCTGTTTTTTTTTTTAACTTTGCATTAAATGAACAAGCTTTGGATATTAGTATCGTAATGGACATTGCAGAGCCAAATTGTAGTGATTTTGTACTTTCGTGATGATAGTATTGAGCAGTCTTCCCAACTTGGGTGTGCTGTTTTCCCCCCGGAATTTCTCTTCCCACTGAGTTGTGAAGCAGTGCTCGGATGTATCTATCTCTAAGAGTTCATTGCTTTTAGAGATTATACAACATACCTGTGAATAAAAGCCACATTTGTCAAACTGACAAGTCACTTGTGGATGTGGCTTATTAATCCTCTGTCGTACTGCTTCAACTATTCCCTAATTTGAAAATGTTCATCTCTCAGGAGGTGGTGGTACAATTTATTTGATGTCAATGCACTACATCAATTTTGCTTGTTAATTTTAATTTCTTTATTGAAATAAACTTAAACAACCTGACTCCAGATACCATGATCATTATCTTATGAACCTTGACTGGGCAAAATTACTGAACCAGAGCAACCTCTTCATTTCAGTGATGGAGTACCAGTATTTCTATAGCCTGTTGTTCTCTGGTAGACCTGGAAAATAAAAACTTTAAAACTGATGTCTAAATACCCCAGTTCTATTTCTCCTTCAGTAAGTGGTTCTTGCTCTTGCACAGGGCAGCACCCGAGGCCACCCTGGATCTCTCCCTTTCTTTTATCTCCCCACCTAGAACAGCAGGCAGGTGCTTATGCCAGCTCATCTGTGATGATTCCTCCCCTGGACCACAACATTGCTTCCTCTCATCTGGACTCCTAGCAGGCATCTCGTAACCAGCCTTCCCTAAAAATCCCTTCTCCAAAACACAAGCCAGGTACTTTACAAATGTTACTCATATGTCACAAGGCTACTGTAAGCCTTCCAGCTACCTCTGATTCCACTTGGAATAAATTTGAAGGATCTTCCATGGGCTCACGACCTTGTGTGGCCAGCCCTGCACCACTCTGTCCCTCTCACATGATTGGGTCACTCTTGATACAACCTCCTGCACATGTGTACCTTGACACAGGCTGATGCTTCTGCACGGGGCACCTGCATGCAGGAACCAGCCTTCATACTTTCACACTTTGCCTCTGCATCTCATTAAAGAAATATTTCCTGGTCACCTGGAGTGTAGCCTGGTCCCCATCATCACCATGTGCACCTGCTGGTTCCTTAGCAGTACTAGACACCTCTAGAAATGATGGGATTCCTTGTGGGTTGTCTGCAGATAATTTTGTTCCTTCCCACCAGCCCAGAAGCTCCATGCAGGTAGGACTGTTCACCACTCATCACTCATACTCAAACTCTCCACCAATAAATAGTTGTGCAGGGAGCAAGGAATGATGGGATTCTCCTGAGACCTTGACTGACTCACAGGCTCGTGGGCTGCAGCTTCCTCACTGATAAAGCTAACAGACCAGTGGGTTCTCACAGGAATGAGTTCAAGAAGATACAGAACCTTGCTTGATCCCCTAGGTGCTGCAAACTGGGTACAGTGAACCCTGTCTATTCTTGTTTTACAGGAAATCTTCAGAGGAGCTGGACATGGACAAGGTGACAGCAGCCATGGTACTAACCAGTTTGTCAACCAGCCCTTTGGTTCGAAGCCCTCCTGTGCGGCCAAATGGTAAGCCTGGGGATGGGCTTAGGAAAAGGCCCCTGAACATCAAGAGAAGAGCCTCCCTTTGTGGGGTCTCATTCCTGTCAAATGCAATGAACAGTTAACACTCAGCAAAGATCAGGAGGCAAAGGGAAACTGCGTGAATGAGGACCTCAAGGTTGTCCCTCTCCTTATCATTCCAGAGAGCCCACTTACCTTACTCATCCATCCATTCAGCTCTCACAGTGGTACTCTGTTGCTTGTTTTCTGCTCTGCCACAATACAAGCCTGCAGTGTTTGTGTTTCTATTCCCAAGTAAATAGAAATTGGTCTAAACGATGTTACTTCCCTAGCATTATTAATTTTGCTGGGGAGGTAGGTAGTTGTATCAAAGAACTTCCTGATGATTGAAAACCACTATCTCAGACTCCTTAATCAAATAGAATTATTTAATCTATTGATGTATTCAACATATATTTACCATGCTGGATAATTGTGATACATCATTGAGAAGTGTGTCTCCACTCCCAGAGGCTGTAAAATCTTTTTAGGAAAAGCAGACTATCAATCTTGGACCTAGTAATAGGTGGCATAGAGTGAGCATTTGCTATATGCCTGCTTTATATCTTGTAATTCTCCTAACAGCACCTGCAAGTGTTAGCATCACCGACTTACAGATGAGTGAACGGACACCGTAGGGATTCAGTGACTTATGAGTGATAGAGCAGGCATCCTCCTGTCTTTCTGATTTCAGATCTATTCTCATAAACACAGTATTGGTTCACATATTTCAGAAAGACAAATCAGGGACGCAGAGCAGGAACTGAGGATGGAGAGGTGAGGCAGGAGCTTGGTCCCACGGGGTCATGCCTGCCTGGTGAGGAGGACACACTTCGCCTTGAGGTTTTGAGGGAGCCATTCCAGTGACTCAGGCAGCAGTGGTTAAGGGTCGGGTTACCGAGACAAGCAACAACACCGAAACCTGCATGGAGTGTTTGAACCTTGCTAGCCGCAGTGGGGAGAACTAGAGCATAATTCAGAAATGGGTAGAAGGCAGAATCCATAGGACTTGGTGATAGACACAGAGGATGAAGGCACACGTGTTGCCTAGAGCCTCTGCAAAGGGACCCATTTCCTGTGATAGGGAATGAGGCAGAGAAGTTGATCACTTAGTAGAAGTTTGGGGGAAGAAGTGGGGTTGCTGAAGAAGACAGCAGGCTCACTTTGAAGCACAGCTGGGAGGCAGTGCTTGGCAGTCACTGAACACGCACTGCGTGTTGGAGATCTGGTTGTTGCCTAGGAGAGGGGGCTGCACCAACAGAACAGAATCGGACAACGGCACTTGGAGGGTCCTCGAGGGAATCGTGGCAAAGCAGACTTCCCAGAGAAGATGCCATGGGGGAAGCAGGGCAGCTGGCCACCGGGGAGGGATTAACAAAGGCTGTTTATCCTGGATGTTTATCCAGGAAGAGCCAGAAGTGACCTGAAAAAGAGACAGCAGGACAGGAGCTCTGGGGGAATTCAGGAGAAAGTGTTTCAGGGAGCAATGTCTGATGCTTCAGCAGGTAGAACAAAAAAAGAACTAGGTTCTGCGTTAAGAAGGCCACTGGGGTTGGTGCTGTGGTATAGCAGGTAAAACCACTGCCTAGAATGCCAACATCCCATGAGGGCACCAGTTCAAGTCTTGGCTACTCCACTTCCAATCCAGCTCCCTGATAATGTGCCTGCAAAAGCAACAAAGGGAGGCTCAAGTGCTTGGGCCCCTGAGCTCATGTAGGAGATGCAGAAGAAGCTCCTGGCTCTTGGTTTCAAATTAGCCCAGTTCTAGCCATTGCCACCTTTTGGAGAGTGAATCAGCAGACAGAAGATATTTTCTGTCTCTATCTCTCCCTCTATTTCTCTGCCTTCCAAATAAATGAATAAATCTTTGCCAAAAACAAAAAAAGGCCAACTGGTGGCTCTGGCAAGGAGCATACACAGAAGAGTCCCTATGGAAGGGAGTTTGCGGTTTACCCAAATGGAATGCATGGAGCCCACAGACAGAGACACAATAGCCATGGAAGCCCAAAAACCCCAGCACAGTCCACTGTAAAACTGATTTGTGGCTCATGCACAGCCTGCTTATAAACACAGAATTATTAAATTGATGGCTTATCCAATCAAAACCTACAATCCCATCATAAGTGGAAAGAATGCTCAAGATGCTGGAAATTGAAGTCTGTATCATCAATCACTGATGCCCAGCACCATGGTTCACCACGAAGTGGGTGATGCCACCTGGTCACATGTCCAGACTCTGTTCCTTGCCTTGACTTCACTTGGTGGGACACCTCTGTCCTTCCCTTCTCAGCTGGGCAGGGCTGTTAAAGAAAGATCACAGTATGAGCACATAGAAGGCTGCCCCAAACATCCTGGGAAAGCAGCATTACAGAATCTCTTAGACTCATTAGAGGGGACCACAAATATATTTTAAAATATAAATCATTTTTTAACCATCGGATTCTTTTTATAATGAAGAATTTTTAATGTTCCTTTCTACTTAAAAGTTAGAATCAGACACATCCATAGATCCTTCAGTGCAAACATTTGTTAGTACTACAGTAGAGAGCAGTTCATTTTTCATTTTGGGTTCGAAAAATTCTCAGCTAGAAACCCACGTTGTCTGATACCACTCATTTGGTCTGCAGCCTGAAGCAAATTCTTAAAGTGGGAAAGCATTTTATGATAATAAAGGCATCGTTTTATAGAACCAAAGCCTTTCTCCAGACTTGCTGTGTTATCAGTGAATTTGGGGAGACTATTGTGATCCTTTTGGGGATCAGGGTATGGGCTTGCAACAAGACTAAGAGTCCAGCACCGCCTGCCTGTCATCCTAGAACATATTTAAGGTTTTGCTGTGCCCCCAGATATGTGACCAGTCAGTGCTGCCATCCTGAACCTCTCACTTCGACATCACTTTGCCCTTCTGATTCAGTGGCATCGCTAAAGGGGATGTCACTCGCCAGGAAGCAGATGAGCTTTGGCATTGACATGGGGTGCTGCAGCCATGCCACAGCAGCGGTTGCTTCTCAAAGTGCAGTGCCTTCCTCCTGCCTCACAGGATCACACATCTAGCACCATGAACTTCATTCTGTTTTACAAGCACATGTCCATGTGCTGTGGTATCTTTATTAGCCACCTGGGCCTGCCAAGTGAGTTTTTCACACCAGGTGATACCACCCGCAGCTTTGCCTTAGGCTCTTCAGGCACTCCTGCTGTATGGAATTGAGGAGCTTTCTTGTTTGTAAGAGCCAGCTCCAGCCCAGGGGCACACTTTTTTGTCCCTGTCTCCATGCAGACTGTAAGGAATAAAATGCAAACCTGGTTTTGATGATGCAGACAATGTGTGAGCCTGAATAAATGACCATTTGATTCTGCAAGATCTTTGACATAATGAAATCAGTAAGTTAATCTCCTATTTTAACTTCAGTCTTCATTCATCTAACTGAACTTTTATTTGACATCATTGATGAATATGCTGGAAATTGCTAAACAGGTGAAGAAAAAGTTTCCTTATGCGGACTCACAATTGGCTTAGCGGTTAAAATGCTACTTGTTGTAATGGCCAAATCCCAAATTCATGTGCATAGGTTCAAGTTGCAGCTACACTGCCAACTGCAAGTGCCAGTGGGCAGTAAGTGATGGCGGCAGTACTGCATGGGTCCCTGCTACCCACATGGGAGATTCAGAATGAGTTCCAGGCTCCAGGCTTCTGCCTGGCTCTGCCCCAACTTCTCTGAGCATTGGGGAAATAGATGGAGATACTTCTCCCCTCTCCTCTCTTTCTATTTCCCTCTCTCTCCCTCCCTCTTTCCATTTCCCTCTATCTTCTCTCTTATCCTCCCTCCTTCCCCCTCTACTTCTCTTCTTCCTTTTCCTCTCGTCTCCCTCCCTCTCCTTTCCTCTCTCCCTTTTTCCCATCTCCCCTCACTTTCCAGAAAGTAAATAATTTTTGAAAATAAGAAAAAAATTTCTCAGTGAGTTCTAATTTATCATCTGTCTTTACCTCATCAACTGATTAGAGGAACAGTAACAGCATTTTTTAATGAGACATTGGGGACTTTTTCTTATAGTGAGAGAATAGTTTTAATATATTCAAAATGACACACAGTATGGTAGAAAAATTATCCAGCAAGAGAGTAGAAGTTATGCAAATACTAATTAGTATTCTGCATCTTGAAAGATAGTACAAATTTCCAGGGATTCAGAGAGAACCGCCCCCCCAAAGACATTGTACCTAGGCAGAAATCCCTCCCTGTTAACAAGCAGTACACAGCTTTTGCCACTCGCCACAATGGTAAAATGCAACCCCAGGAAGTCACTGCTGCTGAGAAATGCTTATCCCAGCAGAGGAGGTAGGATGCTTACCACCCATGGCCTGTGAGCACCGAGGGAAGAGGACACACTGTACCCCTGGGTCAGTTGCTGCTTGCTGCCTCAGAGTCTACACCTGTAAAATGGGAGTGGTCACCTTTTCACTCTGAGGGACAGAGCTCATGAGTGTCTGAGTGAGCTTTGTAGGTGTAAGACCCATGCAGAAGGTCAGGAACTGTTAGGAGTATTTGTTCGGATAAGCAACATAGCCAGTGGCATTTGATAGTCATCCAGAAATGAATGGCTCCTATGTGTTTAAATCTTAAGGAAACTTCTTATAAATCCATCTCAAGAATCCCAGTCCCTTGAAAAACCTTAACAAAAAATAAAGTTGAGGTGGGCTTGAATGTGAGTGTATGCCAGTTGGGGGCACCAGCACAAATAATGCTTGCAGTAGAAATACACAGTAGCTAAACTTTAAACTTAATGAACAAGACCATCTATGGCTTTTTTATGTTTGTGTCATCCCCACTCTCCTGCTAAAGGAGCAAATGTTACACAGGGAAGCACACATAAGAAAAGTCTCGGAAAATCCCTTGTCCTGTGCCTGAGACAACTCCATCAGCGGGCAGCATGCCTGTGGAGGCCAGAGCTCAAGAGAAGTAGCATTTCCAGCTGATGCCTATGAGTGCGTGGGAAAGCAGGGGGTGGCAGCAGAGCAGAACAGACGGCAGGTGCCCATCCCCTGACGTTGCTGTCTGTGTCCCGTGCAGAGGGCCTCAGCGGATCCTGGAAAGAGGGCACCGGCGTGCCTTCCAGCAGCAGCAGCAGCGGCTACTGGAGCTGGAGCGCCCCCAGTGACCAGTCCAACCCGTCCACGCCGTCGCCTCCACTATCGGCTGACAGCTTCAAGCCCTTCCGCAGCCCGGCACCACCCGACGACGGCATTGACGAGGCAGAAGCCAGCAACCTGCTCTTCGACGAGCCCATCCCCAGGAAAAGAAAGGTTGGTGTCTGGGGTCAGGACCCCGATTGCGTGGCACGGGCCCATCTCTGCATGAGGGGTGTGGGGGTCTCCGAGCCATGCCCTCTCGTGGTGGATGCCAGCGGGCCTGTCCTGCTTGCTGCTGCCTCTTGGGTGCAGATTGAGAACCCTAAGTCCTGCCCAAGGACAGATCAAAGAGTCTAAAAACAGGGACAGATGTCCTCAGAGTCGGCATGGGACTTCGCCAAATGTGGAAGATGATAAAAAACAGCACTAGAGGTTTGGCTAGGTAATTAACTCACTGTCTCAGTGGGATTTAGTGTGAAAAATGTATTTAATACCTTTGTCTCTTTTCTGTTTCAGTCAGTCCTGAGCACTGAGTTAGGAAACACATTCTTCATCTCATCTCATGCAGCTGGATGTGAAATGTATGTCCAAACTTACATATAAACAGATGTGCATATTCACATACCACAAATCGCAGGCTAGTTACTAAAAGTGTGAGCGGAGATCTAATTATCTGACTTAATGCGTTAATGGGTTGCACTTTTGCTGCAATTCTCGGGCTGGCTCATAGGGTGTTTTGCTCTCCCCTTGTCAGGAGGAAGGGGACACTGAGCGTCTGCTTAACCTGTGCCTTGCACGGATGGAGCGTGGGTCCAAGCCGCTGGGAACTAACACTCCCATCCCTTCCTTTGTATTCCTCTACTTTTCTGTAACTGTGTTCACTCCAGTTTTCAGAAGCATTTCTGATGGCAAGAAATAAAGCAATACTGCCACTACATCTAGAAAACATTTTGACATTATTTTTAATAGCATCATATAAACTGGAAAGTGTTACTTCATTAGCGTGATTTTAGATGCTGCATTGAAAGCTTCATGGTTAATGACTGAGCTCACAAACAGAACTCGAGGATACAGCCTGGAAGACAACAAGGCAATCTTGATCTCCTTCCCCCAAACTGTCAAAGAAAAATACTAAGAGGACGTTGATTCCCGGACACCTTCCTTCCCTGCATCTGTCCATGCGTAGTGGCACAGGCATTCCCCATGTGGGGCGGTATAAGTAAAGGCTGACTTTTATGGCCTCCTGTCCTTCCAAAGGCAGTGTCCTGGAGGAGTTGCTGAGCTACTCCAGTCTGTTGTGCAGAAGGCCAGAGCCGTCCTATGGGTCCCCGGGAACACTAGCTGCTTACATGAGGGAGTACCTGCCATTCTGTGGGTCCCTGGGAACGCTGGCTGCTCACATGCAGGAGTACCTGCAGGTGGCTCCTGATGCAGGGACAGTGAAGTCTGTTCTAGGTACTTCAGGCTGCATAGCCTGTCCCTCCTGGGTCACATGACTTTTATGAAGTCCTCTGGGCTTTTAAGGTATGTCCCTAAAAACTGTCCCAGGTTTTTTGTCTGTGATGCTTATATGTCATTTCTACTGTTCGTCCTTCATTACTGTTACATTGTGTTGCAACGTCAAAACTCTTAATGAAGGTCAACAGGTTTTAACCAAGCCAGGGACTAGTCAAGCCACCACAGGAAAGGAACAGACTCCACAGGATGCTTACAGCACCGTGGGAGTGAGAACAATATTGTGTCTGTCATTTCTCCCTCCTTTCAGATTCCAACCGTCCTCAGGGCCATAGCAGCAGGATGAAACCTGTGACCACTAAGGTTTGACGCTGAGATCCTACAGAGACCAAGTTGGTGCCTTAGTCTGTTGAGCTTAAAGTAACTTTGGATTATGAAAATACAGTGGTGCTGTTGCTATTCATTTGTTTAAGTGTTGAGTGAGTCGGTATTCACTGAGCAGCCATCAAGCACAAGGGTCACTGCCCTGAGCATGCCACCTCTTCCCTCCCTCCATTCAGGATGAGTCGGGATTTGGGGAGAATGGAGTTTGATGTGTAAATGGCAAAGAGTGAGTACCAAATGTGTGTTCATGATGTGGTAGGACATAGTCCCTATAAGACCGTTGTTTTGCAATCTTGTTCCCATCTCAGAACTCTTCCCGGTAGTAGGCCTGAGTTGGCTTTGTTTCTCTGTCAATTCACTTATGCACAGTGCCCACTCTGGGGGCTGTTTGAGAGAACCTCATAGATCCCCTGGTGGGTTATGAGTCATTCTTATGGGTGGTGGATCTCAGGCTTAACATAGGACAGAGAACAGTAGCTGCATATTAAAAAAGGGCTATAGTCCTGTCTCCAGGTGCTGCATACTTTTAGTTGAACATTTGCTGTCCAAGCTATATTTCTTGTTTTTTTGTTGGGGTGGGGGGGAGGCAGATTTACAGAAAGGAGAACAGAAAGATCATCCATCCACTGGTTCACTCCCCAAGTGGCTGCGGTGGCCAGAGCTGAGCTGATCTGAAAGCAGGAGCTTCCTCTGGATCTCCCAATTGAGTGCAGTGTACTAAGGCTTTGGGCAATCCTCAACTGCTTTCCCAGGCCACAAACAGGGAGCTGGATGGGAAGTGGAGTAGCCAGGACACGAACCAGTACCCATATGGGATCCTGGCACATGCAATGTGGAAGACAAAGATTTAGCCATTAAACTATTGTGCCAGGCCTCAAGATGTATTTCTTACGTGACTCCTGTTGAGAAGAGTTTGGAAGCCTCTGTTCTGTGTCCTCAAAAGCCGCTGTGATATATAAGACACATGGGAACCTGCAGCAGGAATCACAAGATGCCTGTTCTGAACTCAGCTCTGCCACTCTGACAGCCTAAGAAATCCTCTCCCCGTTCACATGCTAAGTCATCTTGAAAACACACCCAGGAATTTTTACACCTGTTTCAAAAGGATCATCACGATGAGAAAATGGCATCAGCAGTACTAGAGTTTGGATCTGTAAACAAAAGCAGGAGGGCCAGTCTCTGTCCACAAGGAGGAAGCAATGGTCCGGACTCTGCCTGCGATTGTCTCTCACTTGCACACTGCAGATGCTCTCCCACCTCTCCAAGATCCTTTGTCCACTGGTGTGAAGATGTGTGAGGTGCATAGCAGAGATGGGCAGCGTGTCTTACTGTCAGGAGTAAGGAAAAAACATTTGCTGATCGTCATTATCCAGTTATACATTGCTTTGGGACTGTTCCGAGAAATGCCTCGTAGGCAGTTTTCATCATCATGTCATTTGTGCTCATCCAAAGTAAGTCAGCCACAGCATCCAAGCCAGGGCATGATGTATTTCCTTGTTTGGCTACAGTTTACCAAATGTACATAAATGTACCATTTCATTTGATCACCGAAACCCTTGGCAGATTTATTCCCATGGAGATCAGATGAATTATCCAAGTCTGTGTAGCTCATCATGTGACCAAGAGAAGATGAGCTTACTGATACAGCAAAGAGGAAACTTATAGGATGAATTAATTCAAAGAATCCTTATTTCCCTCTACCCTCAAAGGAGAGTAATAACATGGGGAGAAAATAATTGGACATGGCTGCAGCCAGCATTGCCTAGCAGGGTGGGTGCAGGACGTGGAAGACTAGAAGGAAATAGAAGGCAGAGAGGGAAGCTCTAGGCCTACTGCCAGAGCACTGGCTTAGGAAGCGACATGACTCTGAACAGGACCTGCAGCCCAGGCAGGTGAGGATGACCCAGCGTGCACACAAAGTGAAAAGCACAGGTTTGGGAATCAGCACTCTCAGCCTTTGGGGATTGCAGTTCCCATCATGACCACAAGATGACGCAGTGACTCTAAAAACACAAGGGAGAAAAGTGAATTCTCTGGAAGCCCAAAAGGCAACCATGGATTCCACAAGGACCCCTAGAAAATCACCAAGTGCTGATTGGTCATCGTTTATGTGTCCTTTTCCATGCTGGACCCAGATTCTAGGAGATGGCAGATTCTGGGCTTTCCAAAATTGACATTCCAACTCTGTTACTTCCTAGACTTTAGGCAAGTTTTGGGACCTTTCGCAGCCTGTTTCCTCATCTGTCCAGTGTGGACGATGGTGGCACCACGTTGCTGTGGCTGTTGGGAGAGTTCCAAGAGGACACGAGAAGAGAAGTACATGTCAGGCGCTTCTGCTACATTTTCCTCCTGAACCTGCTGAATGGGAAGTCTGAGATGCATGGGTGTGATTTGCAGGAGGTACTCGCTGCCATGCTTCATCCTACCCTCCCTGGCTATACCAATGCCAGAGTGGCTGCAGACAATGTGTGGTCCCTGCTGTAACAGTTAGGGTGAGAGCAGTCCCAAACATGGCCCAAATCAGGCATTTACAAGGCAACCTGACCCCCAACTCAACATTTCTGAACAGCAACTATACCTCAGAGACATTTGCAAAATTCCAGCCTTCCTCATTTATGCATGGATATCTTGACCCTGGAGCATCTTACCTGTATACTGGGGAGAAATTCAAATCAGGAAAGAAAGCACTGAGCTGCCATACGGTGCTGCAGTAGCAGTTGTAGTGTAATAAACAATGACTTCATCATTTCCTCTGCTCTGCCTTTTCACTCTCTCAGAACCCAAAAGCCATGAATCACTTTAGATTGTGAATGACTTTTCCAAAAAAGAAAACAAACCCGTAAAGTCCTCACGAATAAGCGCGTTGCCAGTCACTCCGCTGACTTCATTCCTAAGCCACTAATTTGGAGCAGAATGCCTCCTGCAAGAAGAACCGCTGCTCCAGAAATAGACCCATCTGTTAGGACTGCTGCAAAGGGCGGTGTTGAGAACAGCAGCCCTGGGCCACGCCACACGATGCTGTGAGGACTGCGCAGCATCGTTAGCCAGAGGCTGGAGCTGCCGGGTCTCTGGACAGGAGCAAGGGTAGAAGAAGAGTGAAATCCAGGCCATTTAGTGCAGTCTTCATTGAAGAACTTCCAAAATCATCTAGACCAGCTTCAGCCTTGCTGAGCCAGCAGACCTTTGCAGCATGTCCGAGGCCTACAAATGCCTTCTGAGTTGTTCTGGAAGAATCCATTGGTCAAGAAATCATGGAGTGCTGTGAGACTCCTGTTAACTCAGGAGCCCTTTTGTTGTTACTGTTACAGATATCAATTTAAAGGCTCTTTTAGGCG